CAGAGCCTGACACGGGGCTCGAACCCACCAACCATGAGATCATGACCTGAGCTGAAGTCAGACGCTCAATCGACTGGGCCACCAGGCACTTCCCTACTTATATTCTTAAATACTGTGATAGGTAAAGTCTCAATGCTTGACTTGCCTGGATGGTAACAACTGTCCAGCGATGGGGAGCTGCTCACTTTTTGCGTGTTTCCCATACACTTTAACTGCAGCAAAACAAGAAGGACCTGCCCCCTAAAGCACAGGGAATAAGTAATGGGAATAAAAGACACAGCATAGGGAATATGATCAGTGGTGTTGTAATAGTGCAGTATGGTGACAGAGGGTAGCTAAGGTAAGCATAGCCTAATGTATAGACTTGTCCAGTCTCTATGTTGTACGCCTGAAACTAATGTCTATTGTGCATCACCTTAACTCATATTAAAAAATAAATGAATGAGGGACGCCTGGGTGGCTCAATTGGTTAAGCCTTCAACTTCAGCTCAGGCCGTGATGTCATGGTTTCGTGAGTTCGAGCCACGCATCGGGCTCTGTGCTGACAGCTCAGAGCCTGGAGCCTGCTCCGCATTCTGTGTCTGTCTCTCTGCCCTCCCCCAACTTGTGCTCTCTTTCTCTCTCTCAAAAATAAATAAACATAAAAATGTTTTTTAAAAGTAAAAGAATGATCGAAGAGGGAATTATTGGTAGGGGGGCACAACAAAGGTATTAAAGTGATAGTCTCATGTACTTAAAAAAAAAATAAAACAGGGGCGCCTGGGTGGCGCAGTCGGTTAAGCGTCCGACTTCAACCAGGTCACGATCTCACGGTCCGTGAGTTCGAGCCCCGCGTCGGGCTCTGGTCTGATGGCTCAGAGCCTGGAGCCTGTTTCCGATTCTGTGTCTCCTTCTCTCTCTGCCCCTTGCCCGTTCATGCTCTGTCTCTCTCTGTCCCAAAAATAAATAAACGTTGAAAAAAAAATTAAAAAAAAATAAAAAATAAAAAATAAAACAAAAGCATGACAACACTCTTCTGAAAGTGATAAAAAATGTTTTTCAAGCAACTAATGTAGGATAAGTGTCTACTAGAATATAAGGCCGTATCGGTGTCTTAATCTGAGAAATTTAGGGGAAGATCATTTTTAAACACGTGCTTAGCTTGGAAGGTATTGGGAAATGTTTGTTAATAGACTTTACTGTAAGACTTGTCGAATTCTCAAGCTCAGACTGATTAATTACTATAAACAGCATCATTTTTGCTCTCTTTTTTGAGCAGCTGGGATCTATAGTACTGTCAGGAAGCTTTGCTCAGGCCCAGGATAGGAAAAGCAGCCTCATTTTTTTTTTTTAGACTTTGACCGGTGGCTTTTGGCCAATTGCGAAATGGCCGTGATGTGCTTAGAATGAAGTCTTCTGTGGTCATTTTAGCCAGCAGAATGGTGGCTGTGACAAAGCCACAGAGACTGCCCACTAAAGAGTGGAAGGAACCAGAAAGTGACAGGGCTGTCGTCGAAGACGTCTGAATAGCATGGACCTGAAATTATAAACACAAGCCTGCATGCCTCGTTTCATAAATAAAATGACAGTTCATGTTTCCAAATGCCTACTCTCTGGACAGTAGGCCCCTTATAAAACTCTACCACCAAAAGAGGACTGCGGCTCAGTTCCAGTGCTGTCTCAGATCCGTTTCATGCAATTGAGCTCTACTAATTGTCAACCAGAAGGTTTATAAAAGAGACCAGGAAGTCTGCTGTGGCCAAGGCAATTTGTAGTGGTCTGAAAGCATCTAATTCTCAGAAAAGAAATTCTTTGTAACCGTATTAATCCCCTTAACAAATATGACTGCATACTTCGCTTTTTATTTGATGAATTTGTTTTTGCTTCAATGGAGACACATTAAAGAAATAAGACATCAGCAGAAGTGCCACAGTTCTGAAAGTTGATACTTTATGGAGGCTCTCTGCTTTTTCAGCCACATGTTCCAGTATCACAACAAAATATAGCTGAGATCAACAGCATGTCACAGGCGTTCATTACATATGCATTTCTTTTCTTATACCTTGTGTATTCTGTGCAAGGGATTAGATGTACAGGAAGTCCATGCAAGTTGTAAAATAATGTTTTAGATTAAATCTAAAACACATGGTTACGTGAGGGTGATTCAGCCCCAGTTGTCTTATTAAGAATCAACACGAGGGGTGCCTGGATGGCTCAATCGGTTAAGCATCCGACTTCGGCTCAGATTTGATCTCACCGTTTGTGGGTTCGAGCCCCGCGTCGGGCTCTGTGCTGACAGCTCAGAGCCTGGAGCCTGTTTTGGATTCTGGGTCTCCCTCTCTCTCTCTGACCCTCCCCCACTCGCACTCTGTGTCTTTCTCTCTCAAAAATAAATAAACGTTAAAAAAAAAAAAGAACATGATTTCATAACTGGAGGTCATCAGGAATCAGTCATAGCCATGGTACACGTGATTATACACATGATTATAAAGTTTTTATAAATCCCAACTTGAGTGAATTTCCAATCTCATACATTACATATGTATTATGTATCGGGACTCTATTTTTACTACAAGTAGCTATGTGACCATTATTACTTGAATCCTGAGTCCATATCCAGAAATTTACCATTAAAGAAAACAAAAAATTTCTTAAGCCAGTTCAGTATCCTGACTGTATTATACCAGAAAGCAGTGATCTTAGTGGGGCACTGGGTATAACTTCCTAAGAAATTTACATTTGAGCCGTGTTACTCTGCTTTCCATCAGACTTGGAATATTTTAGAGCAGCTGTTACCACTTTTTTAAAAAGCAAGAAACCAATAAGAGACTGCATGGGATAATGAGAAATAGGAATAATATTTTGCGTTTTTGTATAAAAAATGTATTCTAAAATAATGACTGAAATATAAATTTTTTTTAATTAGAGAAAAAAAATCCTGACCTTGCCAGTAGATTATAATATATAATGTTCCCTGTAAACACCAAGCAGGTGACACTGTGTATCTGAGAATTATCTACCCAAACAGGAAACAAGTTACACCCAGATAATTGAAATCCCGCAATGATCTCGAAAACTCAACTTAGGTATGGATTTTAATCTTTTACTCCAGACTTCCAATAGAGCTTATGTACTGTTTATCTCCTAACAGAGTGCACAACATATAAGAAGCAACTTGAAAGTGGGAATCCAAAAGGAATCAAAAATGTAAAATCTAAATAATACTAAGTCCTAAATCGGCCCTATCGTACTTCACGTGGGTGTACCTACAGTTGGCTTGATTGGTAGCCATGGCCTCAGAGAACTTCTACACCCTGTTCACACAACTGCAGTGACATCCTGGGGCAGATGCATGGATCAGGAGAGCTCCGTCTACACTGCATTTTAGGATGAGCATTGAATTTTGTCCTAGGATGTATCTAGAACTTTGTTTCCTCATTATTTTTTATCCTCTGATTTTGTCGGGTTCACATGACACTCTTCCTCTTTCGCAGCGTCCAAACTATGCACGTGAAGGCACACACACACACACACACACTCACACAGCATACCTGTGCACCGACATGCATGTGGTCACATGCCGCACACACACACACACACACCACACGCGCACTGACACTACGTATGCACACGCAAACACAGAACACCATCATCCATCATCCTCACGCACACGCACAGACACGCTCGTGCACTACACCTAATCACACACGCTCACGCAGACACGCACACACATATGCACAGAACCCACACATCCCGATTCACACACACTCAACACTTTCGACAAACAAGTATTTAAATGCCCCACCGGACACTGAGGTTAGAGCAGTGAACAAAAGAGATCAAAGCTCTTGCCCTCATGGAGCTTATAAAAGAGCGAAGAAAAAGGAGGATTTGAAGAAAATATGAGTCTGGGACTAGAAGAACAGGTATGATGCTGCCCTTGGTGGTAGAGCTTGTCACAGAAGCTGTGCTCTCGGAGGACCCCGTTCCCTGGACCCCTTTCCTACCTGTCTTCTCCAAAACTAAGGAGGGGTCTTGGGAATCTCATCTGTTTCATTAATGAGTCTAGGGAAAATGCCCTTCATCTAGAACAATTCAAAGGAACTTTAGGTTGTGCTTTAGAAACTCTGATGAATCATTTGTGGATTTGGGGATATACAAAAGGAAAGACCCCAGCTGTTTGGTGCCATGGATGTGAACAGACTGGTCACCCCAACGCTTCTGGAAAGCCACGGAGTGCAGACTAAAGAAAGCTGGTGGCTGGTGATGGAAAGTCACCGTTTTTAAGGTGTCTCATACTTCCCCCAGCTTGATGGAGCTGAGGACTGTATGTCGTATAAAGAGGAAACAATCTATGAAATCCTGTTTTGGACATCTTATTACTTTTTATGTCTGTTCGTTTACTGCAAAGTCGTTTGTTGAGCATTGAAGTTGAAAACGTTTTGTTTATTTTAACAAAAATAAAGACACCAAAAACATGAGTCTTATTCCTCAAGATCCAGGTTTACTGAACATCCTTTCTTTCTTCTCACCCCTAAAATGGTGGCTACACACACACACACACACACACACACACACACACACACTCAGAGCTTCTTAAAAGGGTTAAATTTACCTTGTGGAACCTCGAGAAACTATTTACAATAGGATTAAAATACTGATGCTTTTGTAAGGTTTCTCTTTCACTTCAACTGTATCTCGGGATTCACAACAACAACAAAAGATACAATAGAAATAAGCTAGGCAAAATATACAGATGCCCCAACTTTTGTTCCCTGCAGGGAAGTGAAAGAGCTTTACGCGATGAGCCTCTGTGATAAACCAGTACTTGTAAGGATGCTGGCAGAGGCAATCCCAGGGAGGTTTGGATTCTGTCTCCTAGAGATGTAAATTTCTCTGTCTTCTTCTACTGTCCGATGCTAAGATCTAAAGCACTTTTCTATTGGGTTTTCGGTAGGGTGGTCTACTCAGTGCTTCCAGGTTGGAGAGCTTACTTCATTTCTTTTCATTGTCCTCCCCAGACGGCCACCGTGTCTTGGGATATCCGCACACTGTACTCAACGGTACCCGAAGACGCAGAACACAAAGCAGAAAATTTGCTGGTGAAAGAGGTAAATGCGATGCTTCCCATCCTTTACTTTATAAACTCTGTTTTCTCCTGGGGGGGGGGGGGGCTCCACACAGCTCCCTTTTATTATTGTCTTCCTCTCCTTTTCAGTAGAGAGTTCCAGATGCGATGATGAGCTGTTCCTTTTCAGCCCTCATCATGTCTAGATTCTTTCCATTCTCCTGTTAATTATGTTTCATTGTGTGGTGACTCTTCAAGTTCGGGGCTTTTTTTTTTCTTTTGTTTTTACTTCCCTTAAAATCGTCACATTGAGAAATACGTGTGTGTTCTTAACAGAGGATAATTTTATTTTGCTTACCTAGACTGACTTGTGGGAAAGGCCACCGTATGTGAGAATTTTGGATAACAGAGTTTCTATGTTAAGAGATACATTTTTTTTCAAGTACTAACTATGGAAATAGTTAATGGTAAAACCCTGTGGCTATGATAAAAACCTTTTGATATAGCATTTGTTTGCATTCTGATGATATAAGAGAGGCCTACAACCTTGCTCCTTCTTCTAAGCAGACTAAGGGATGCTTTAGGGCAGCTACTTAAAAGATATTTGTTGAATGAATAAATGAAGCTAGTCCTTCCTTTACAGAAAATGCAGTGAGAAAATTCAGCACAGGCCAAACAGAATCCTGACAGAAAATGGTGTATCCCCAATTAGGATTTAGTTTAATAACAAAACCTTTTCTCAGCTCTCAAACATACATGTGCGAATATAAGATAGCTTTATTAGCATACATATTATATCAATCTGTATTAATCATGCACATTTTACGTTATACTATTCAGTCCAAATCCTTTGCCATAGATTTATTTACGAGTTTTTTTCCAATTCCATATTTATTTCCCAAAGATTACATTAAATTACACTACCTTCTAAGGAGTTAAAAAAAAAAAAGGAAAAAGTGCAGGTTCAGATAACATCATGATATCTGAGTATGCTATTTTCACATTGACTGATAAAAATAATATATGTGACATCAGTACCATAATATTCTTTTTACAGTCACCTTAGAGGAAGTCTTTTTTTTTTTTTAAGTTTATTTATTTTTGACAGAGAGAGAGAGTGCAAGCATGAGCTAGGGAGGGGCAGAGAGAGAGGGAGACACAGAATCTGAAGCAGGCTCCAGGCTCTGAGCTGTCAGCACAGAGCCCGACGCAGGGCTTGAACCCACGAACCGTGAGATCATGACCCGGGCCAAAGTCGGACACTTAACCGACTGAGCCACCCAGGCACCCCCTTAGAGGAAGTCTTAATATCTGGTAGGACATCACAGTTTAAAAAAGAGTTGGCAAATCATTTTCTACACCAGAAAATCAGAATCACTGAGACAAGGTCTAGTAACATTCTTCAGTAAATATGTAAATATGTGTTAACTTAGGTAGGATTTGAAACATTTATGATCCTGAATTCCTTACCAGGAATATTCAACCAATTCTTCTTGAATGTTCTTCCCTAAAATATTGCACTTTTGGGTAAAAATCTTTAGCTTGTTGTTAAATTTATTTCCAGGAAGTTTATAGCTTTGTTGAAAATGTGAGAATTTGTTAAATCCAGTTCCTTTTTTTTGCTTTACATTGCTGATATTAAAAAAAAATAAAATAAAAAAACTGTTGGGGCACCTGGGTGGCTCAGTCGGTTGAGCATGGGACTTCGGCTCAGGTCATGATCTCACAGTTTGTGGGTTCGAGCCCCTTGTCAGGCTCTGTGCTGACCTCTTGCTCAGAGCCTGGAGCCTGCTTCAGATTCTGTGTCTCCTTCTCTCTCTGCCCCTCCTCCGCTCGTGCTTTGTCTCACTCTGTTTCTCAAAAATAAATCAATGTAAAAAAATTTAAAAAAATAAAAAACTGTGGCTTTTGAAGATATATGGCTACCTCACTAATCTTCCTTATCCTAATAGTTCTTTGTAATGTTAGTTTTTGCTTTCATTCGTTTTTACTTTATTTTATTTTTTTGCACATAGAAAGACACCATTTATCATTCTTATTTGATGTTTAAGTGTGTAGTCATATCATCTGCAAACAATTAAAATCGTCCTAGTTCCTAATAACTGTGTAGGTGTTTTTTTTTTAATTCTTGCCTCATTTTGTTATCTGATATCCCCGAAATCAGGGATTGAATAATAATGCTCATGTTGGGCATCCTATCTTTTTTCTTTTTCCTTTTTCTTTTTTTTTTTTTTTTTTTTTGAGAGAGAGAGAGAGAGAGAATGCATTCGGTGCAGGTGCAGAGGAAGAGGGAGAAGGGGAATCTTAAGCAGGCTCCGTGGTCAGTGCAGAGCCCAAAGCAGGGCTCGATCTCACAACGGTGAGATCATGACTTGAACTGACATCAAGAGTCATAGACTTAACCTCTGAGCCCCCCAGAGGCCCCCATCCTGTCTTACTTTTGGTTTTAGGGATAGGCCTTTAGTATCTCTGATGCTATCTTACCCCTTGAATTTAGCTCTGTGATCCGCAGGATCTATATTTGCATTTCTGGTGTAAACTTTCTTATTCAAATTGTATTATTACCTTAATACTCCATTCAAATTGTGAATATTTTATTTCATGTTTTTGCTTTTATATTCATGAGTGAAATTATCTCTAGTTCTCTTCCCTCACTTTGGTATTAAAGCAAATGCTAGCTTAAAAACATTGTGACACTCTCCATCTTTTTCCACTTTATTCCATTCTGGAATCAAAAAATAAATCCGTGAAATGAAATAGGGTATCTAGAAATATATCCAAGTAAATACGGTTACATACCAACTGACAAATTATGGCACTTCAAATTCTCAAATATCTCTCAGGTTAGACAATTTCATGAATACCACTTGGTTATTCATTCTGGATGAGAATAAAGTTAGGACTCCAGCTCACATTAACATAAAAATTAACTCCAAGTGGATAAAAACTATTTAAATTTTAAAAACAAAAATATTGAAACTACAGGAAAACATTTTAAGTGGAAATTTAGGGGAAACAGATTTAAGCAAATAAAAAATTTTCATTTCTATATGATTAATGGTACCATAAATAAAGTCAAAAGAAAATATTTAATCAGAGCAATTATTTGCAACTCTTTATATCTTTTGCAACACATGCACACATTCCTGATTTTCAAACTCTTACAAATTAATACGAAGATAATAACACAAGGAAATATAGGCAAAAGACAGGAGCACACAGTTCAAAGAGAGGGGCACAAAAAGTTGCCAGCTTCACTTACAGTCATGAAAATGTAAATTAAAACAAATATGATGTATGATACTTGAATGAAGAAAAATTTTAAGATGAGTAATATTTAGTGACAGTGGGAATATCGGAAATAAACATCATACAGTGTTTATAATACTCACATATCTGTAACCTTTGAGATGTAATTCTGTAATTCTTTTTTGTAAAGTTTATTTATTTATTTTGAGAGAGAGAAAGAGCATGAGTGAGGGAGGGGCAGAAAGACAGGAGAGAGAGAGAATCCCAAATAATTCGTCACTGCCAGCACACAGCCCCATGTGGGGCTCAAACTCACAAACCATGAGATCATGACCTGGGCCGAAACCAAGCGTCAAGTAAGCTTACTGACTGAGCCACCCAGGCCCCCAGATGTAATTCTAATGTACCTTTTAAGTAGTGCATATACATATGTAACATGTGTGTTATTAAAAAAACACTAGAGCATAAAAGTATAATTACAAGGTTAAGTATTGTTACACTGACCAAATTGTAATATCAGTTGGTAAGAGTGGGGTTGAATAAATTTTGGCACATCTGCATTTTAAAATAATATGTAACCAATAAAAATTAGATGTATTTATTTTATTATTAATTTTTTTTAATGTTTTATTTTTGAGAGAGAGAGAGAGAGCTAGTGAGGGAGGGGCAGAGAGAGAGAGGAAGTCACAGACTCTGAAGCAGCCTCCAGGATCTGAGCTGTCAGCACAGAGCCCGTCACAGGGCTCGAACCCACGAACCGTGAGATCATGACCTGAGCTGAAGTCGGATGCTTAACCGACTGAGTCACCCAGGTTCTCCCAAGCTAATACATTTATATGTACGTAATTTGGGGGCACCTGGGTGGTCCAGTCGGTTAAGCATCCGACTTCAGCTCAGGTTTGATCTCGCGGTTCGTTAGTTCAAGCCCTGCCTCAGGCTCTGTGCTGACAGCTGGCCCTCCCCCACTCACACACACTCTCTCTCTCTCTCTCTCTCTCTCTCTCCCTCTCTCAAAAACAAATAAACAATAAATAAATAAACAAATAAACAATAAATAAATAAATAAATAAATAAATAAATAAATAAATTAGCTTGGATGCCCATGGTATGTTGTTAAGAGAAAAAAGTAAGTTGCAGAATATACACTATGATATCTTGAAGGTATAAAACCTGTAAGTATATACATAAATATGGCTTATTTATATAAGCTTTAAAAAAGTATGAAAAATGTAGAATAAACTCATAACATTGGTTATGTCACAAGTTTGGGATTGTAAGGGGAAGAGAGGAAATTGGATCTCAGTTTATATGTTCTATATTGTGTTACAAGGGTATTTTTGTGGTGAAAAAATATTTTGTGAAAAAATTAGTGGAAATACATCTTAAAATGCTGTCAGAATTGGAAGCCACCCAAGTGTCTCTTGTAAAATTGTCTCCAAACTTTCAAATCCAACCTTATTCTGAGAGTGGCAAGTCGCCTTAAAGACCATATCAGATTCTTTTTTTATTATTATAATTTGACTTTGGTAATGAAAATGTCATATGGAATGATCAAAATCCCTTATGCATTTCACTTTATGAGTCCAACCACTGGGCTTGTCTGCCTGTCATAGAAGCCAGTTAAGTTCATCTGATACAGTCCATTCATAATCACTTGTAATAAAACTACTGTGGATTAATAAACATCTCCACGATTTCAGGGACTATTCATGTCATGATCTTTTTACCTCTTTCTGGGTGCATTGGGTATTTGTCTATTTCCAGGTTTCCAGCAGTCTGTTTTAGGCTGTGAAA